TCTGTGGGGCAATTCTAGAAACATTCTGCTTCTTTCTTTAGGGGAAAAAATAGTGTCTAGCTTTTTTATATTCAGGTGCACAGCACAATTTTTTTGGACTGGTAGCATGTGTATCTGCAGTTACAGAAGCACTGGCTATTCATGAATTCCTTTTGTGTTACCACTCACTGAACAGGGAATGAAAAACCACTGCCAAAAATAGCGGAGGAAGGGGACGAAGGAGGGAAGAGAAACAACACAAAAGCCCTGCACAGTAAGCAGGGAGACATGGCCCTTTCACTCACATAATGAAAAGGTTAACATGAACACTGTTAGCATAGAAAGCTTCCATTTAAAAATCCATGGTGTTTAAGTATTGTTCTTCCAATCTGAGCTGTCAGAAATCTCCCTCAAAATTACATTCTCCACAGAAAGGTACTAAGTAGAAACTTTGGAAGTATGTTGCTATTATGTTTGAAAACCTTCCCGACCAAACGAGGTCTCAGTCAGCCACAACACAGCATGGCTTTCTGACTCATAACCCTTCTCTGATCATAACTAACTCTGATCTTCCCTCCACTTGAAGCCCAAATGTCAATTTGTCTGTCTTCAATTGCTCACTAGCCTGAAAAAGACTGCTTTTAAAATACTGAGTCAATTTTGTTCTAGGCTTAATACAGCAGCACGATACAATCTGCAGTGATATAGATTTTTTTCCTCCACCAGCTAAGTCTCTGGGGCATTTTATGGAATCAAATATTGCTAAAAGAGCATCACATAAAGAAAGTTTTAAAAATAGATTTTAAAAAACAAAGAGCAATTCAGCATATGCATTACCCATGTGGAGATGGTTTGGCAAATGCAACATGGAATTACTTAAAGCTTGCCCACAGCTTTTTTTTTTTTTTTTCTCTTTTCTTTTTTTTTTTTTTTTTTTTTTTTTTTTTTTTTTTTTTTTTTTTTTTTTTTTTTTTTTTTTTTTTTTNTTCTACTTATGGCAACATGACCATAGAAAACATTAGGCCTAGACTGCTATTAATACAAGTTTGTAATCTTGGAAGTTATTCTTTATTTCTGCCTGCTGGTATCCAGCTTAAATATCTTGTTTTGCCAGGTCATCTGTCTAAAATGAATGCAATTTCAAAGATATAGTAATTTCTAAGATAAGACAGAAAGAATTGAACACTTCACTAAATTTACTGTTGAATGTGATATATAACATTTTTAAAAAATAAGCTCATATTTCCCTGTTGTGTGTACTCTTAGACAGATGATATGACTAAACAAAATGACACAAGTGAGGCAGAAAAAGAGATAAAGATTTTGAAGGATTCTTTTTTCTAGAAAATATTAGCAAACCTGTCACTTACAATACAACAAATGGCTGCATCCATTCATATTTTTAGTAGCTAAAAATTTTCAAAAGTGTAAAGTTATCTCATTAAATAAATTATTATCAGAGATGGCTAAATCAAGACAGCCATAGAGGGGGAAGAGAGTGCAGCTACCCTCTTCGCCATGGGATGGGGAGCAAAGAACATGTTTGGTGCTGCTGAGGAAGAACATGTTTGATGGCTGGTTTACCAAATCCCTTCCTCTGCAAAAAAACATCATTCGTGGCAGTGCTTCAACTGTACCCGAGAACAGATGTTTACGTTTGCATTTACAATTCTATTTGTTGAAATCAACTTTCAAACATTTGGAGTGAATTATAATATGACTAAATATGGTCACACATTAGTCTCCCTGTTCTATATTTTCACCTCACAAGTAGATAATTAATAAAAATTACACTTTTTAAAAAACAAAATCCCATGGTTGATAACTATATTGATAATAAGTACTTTTTCTGCTGCTGTTTTATGAATATAATCTTACAGGCTGTATGTTTGCAACATCTATTAACCATAAATTTCTAATATGGTTCTATTTACAGATTTCTACACCACATTGAAAATCTGGCTAAGTGCAGCCATACCAGTCATCTTCAACAACTAGCATATATATGTACAGAAATAAGCAATTCTATGCTTCTAGCAAAAGAAATTCTGAATTCCCTTTCAGATTTTTTTTCCTTCCCACACACAAACTCATGTTCCCAAAATGCAACTCATTGAAATAATGGAAAGCTGCAAACACATGAATTGAATCTTCTGTGGGGCTTCCAAATACATAAAAGCAAACCATGTTATAAATTCAACTTTTTTCCTGCCACAATTCAAAGTTCATTTTGAAGATTTGCTAAAAGGACTTGTCTCTGAATCCATGGTTCAATCTTGAAAAGGAAAATGCAGCAATTCTTCCTCAAAACTGTTAAAATCATAAAAAAATTCTCTGAAATTCTAGGTGCTCTAAGGGGGCATTTGTGATTCACTGAAAGATTAAATAAGTTAATTTTCACAGCAACCATCCAATCCCCTCCCCAAACATTCTCCCCCAATCCTCACAGAGATCAGGCAGATCATGACCCTTTTACAGCACACAAAGGTTGCAGAGGGAATGTTCAAAATATTAAGTAAAGCACCTTTCCTCTTGGAGTGGGTTGTATTTTTTGGTTGATTTAATTTACTTTTTTTTTTTTTTTGAGGGGCAGCACTGTGTTTGGTTTTGTTTGTTTTGCGTGTGTGTTTTGGGTTTTATGGTCTGCATCTCTGTGTTTTTTTTCCAAAAAAGTGAGCTGAAATGTAATACAAGAGGAAAGCAAACAGACCATTTGGCCAGAGCATGGCCAAATGCACCATTTGCACCTGACCTACCTCCATTCAAATGAAACAAAGAAGACACAATTCATCACATGGGTATTTCCAAAGAGGTTCTCAGTCTAACAGAAATATGTCATAGTCAGCTGCCAGCAACAATCTAATTCACATAAAGCCTCCCACTATTTTGTCCTCTTAAATACCATGTTTCAGTCCACAAATTCTACTCTCAGACTTCATTTCCAACAAAACCAGCAATTAATCCACAAATTATTTTAAACTAACAGCATCTTACGTGACAGAGAATTGCCATCCTTTTCTAAACTTCAGACAAAAGAGTAACAAACACTTGAAACAGGAAATGAAATACTAATTTTTGTAGAACTGAATTGCATGTATTCTCTGTAGTCATTTATAGGAACAAGTTAGCATAATACTTAAATCACTGGGAAACTATACCTTTAAAATTTAATGAAAATAGCAGGGAATCACCTGTCAGATACAACAAACTGCAGTAAAATTTTAAATGTGATTTTCCAATAGAGTAAGACAAACCCTAATGGGAGTCTTAAGGGTACTTTCCTGGAAGAAAGAACATAGCAAGACGGGTGCTGAAAAAACTTTTTATATCTCTCCCTACATGTTTAAGAAATTAACCCTTATTAAGTTTACCTAAGCATTAAGTGTTCAGAAAGATCAAAGACTAAAAAAAGCCAGAAACCAAAGCATATAATAAAAAGGCATTAAGAAAATAAAACTTTTCTCCTCACACAATATAGAAAACATCTGAAAGACAACTCGGTCATTGGTCACAGCCAGTACAGCTTCATGGCAGGAAAGTGGTGCTCATCAAACCTGATTCCTTTTCATAACAAGGTCACCCATCTGGCTGATCAAGGGAATCCAGTTGATGTAATATTTTTTAATTTCAGTAAAGCTTTTGATACTGTCTCTCACAGGATCCTTCTGGACAAAATGTCAGGCACACAGCTGGATAAACATCATGCCATGGATGAGCAACTGGCTCACCACTCAGGCATGAAGGGTTATAGGGAATGGGGTGACATTGGACTGGTGACGTGACACTGATGAGGTTCCCCAGAGCTCCATCCACAACCCTGTGCTCTTCAACATCTTCATAAATGACTTGGATGCAGGACTGGAAGGGATAATAAGCGAGGTCACAGATGATACAAAACTGGGAGGAGCTGTTGATTCTCTTGAGGGTGGGGAGGCCCAGTAGAGAGACTTTGACAAATCAGAGGACTGGGAAATCACCAACCATAGGAAGTTCAATGAGGGAAAGTGCCGGATTCTGCACCTGGGATGGGGCAGCCCTAGAGGCACGGACAGACCAGCAATGAGATGCTGGAAAGCAGAGCTGTGGAAAGGGACCTGGGGCTCCTGGTTGATGACAAGTGGAACATGAGTCAGCAGTGCCCTGACAGTCAGGAAGGCAAGCTTTGTTCTGGGGTGCATCAGGCACAGTATCAACATATACCACAACCACAGAGAGAAAATAGGTTAAAAAAAAAGCAAGAAAAATTTATATTTGGAAAAAAAGAAAAAAGATTGAGTAGCAGTGCAGTTCTGCTATCTTCTGTGTTCACTGCTCTGAAATCTTGATTTCAACACTTATATATATATTTCATTAAATATCAACCTGTAAGACAACTGTAGATTGAGGAAAAAAAAAGGGGAATGGGAACACTGAGATTTCTGTTCAATTCAGGCACCAGAATTAACTCATGAATCAATGAATGGGGCATGCAGTAAAACCTTTCCTCTGTAAGGGTGAGAAATTTTTATGTTGCTCATATTTCTAAAAAAACTATAATGAATTTTAAGTTAAATCCAAACTTTCACTTGCTATATTGCAAGCTTTGGAAGATGATCATATAGTGATTTCATGAACAGCAAATGAGTAACATTTTAGGTAGATTCTGATAGTGAGAAATGTTCTTGGACAGTACAAGGCATGTGACTGCAGAGTTTTAAAACTCACATTAAAATGCAAAATTCATATAATTATTTTATTCCAGCATCCCTTCACCCATTTATTGAGCCTGTTCAAATCTCATTCGTATACCCATACACGTGTTTGCATCCCATGTAGGAACCGCTGAAATGTGTGTAGTCAATGAAAGAAGCACAATGCAACTTGCCTGTTTGCCAGCTGTCCATTTAAAGTCACTAGGTACTCACAGATAAGTCTGCTAATTTATACAGTTTTTCCTCTTTGTAGGTCAATGATGGACAAAAGACAACCACATGCGATTTTTTTTTTTTTTTAATAAAGATAAAATTACAAAAAAGGTAAAATCAGCTCAGGAAAGGCAAATTACTTTAATAGATCAGTTTAGACATTTAACATAATAACTCACATCCATTTTTAAATACTATTACATAAAGCATGGTGAAGAAAGGAATTTCTGCCTCATAATTAGAAAACTCACAATACAACTTGCCAAAAAACAGAACAAAGCCGTTTGAAAATAAATACAGTCCATGCCAAATAGTACAAAATGAAATCAGCAGTCTCTCCATACGAAAACTTTTCTCCTTTTAGGTATTCTCAGACTCTAGTATTATGTTCTGCAACTGATGAGAGGCTATCTTTTGTTCAAGGGTTGCTGAGCTGTTCTGATTTTGCTCTGTACAAAGGCAAAAAGAAGTATTATTTTTTTAATTAACCGATTTAGAAATGCAATTTTGAATTATTAGTAATGATTCTAAAATATTTAGTATTATGAGGAACTGAAAGTGATCTTCACGGAACTAAAAAATATTACACAGTACTGACTTAACACATACTCTGGAAAAATGTCATTTTTAATTAATTAGTGCTTACCCTTTGGCGTCTGTCTTTTCACCACTGCTGTCCTTGGCTTTATCCTCCTCCTTAACATCTGAAAAATCACAAGATTTTAAATATACCGAAAGATGCAAGAAAGCCTTAAAATACTTAAGAAGTAAAGAGCATGACCAAGTTTATTATTTTATATGTATTTCTTGAGGAAACTGGCTTTTATAAGAAGTCACTAGTTACATATTAAAGTATAGTGTTAAAGGCAACCATCCAAAAGAGAGGTCTAGGCACAATGCCAAGTGATTCAAAATGCCTCAAGGCAAGGCCTGTCTTAAATGGCCATAATGACTGCATGCAGTAATGAGACCTGGAGTTCCCTCGAGCTCAAGATGTTTCCAGTTCTTAGAAAAATCAGGAGTCCTTGGAATTACACTGTCCCCAGAAGCCTATCTGGTTTCTGTTTCAGAGAAAACTAGCTGGATCACCTCACAAAAGCAAACAGGAACAAATGTTTTGCCCAATGTATATTTTTTCATCTCTATTTTCATTAAGTCACACAAATCTCTGGCTCAAAGACTTCAACTTATGGGGAAGAAACAATAACCCTTGCCTGAAAACATTGTACTAGTCTGAATAGCTGTATCTTTAAACTGATTAATTTAAAATAATTATTTAAAAATTATGGAAAAGATTATAGATTAATTTAAAATAGATTATTTAAAAATGATGGAATATATAATCTCAACAGTGAACTACCTGTTACCAGATAAAACATCTCTCTTCTGGCAGGACTGACATTTGCAGTTCTAAAATATAGGATAAAACCACACTGTAGTCCTACCTGCTTTTTTGTCCTCAGTCTCTTTTTTGTCTTCTTCTATTCTGGCTTTCTTCGCTCCTTTCTTATGATCTGCAACGTTTCGTCGTCCACCTTCTCCTTCATCTTCAGAATCTGAAAATTCTTCATCACAAGCTATGCGCTTATCAGATGCTCGAACTAGGATTCAGATGTATGACATTAATTAATCAAAATGTCCAACTACAACAGGCCTAACAAAGAACTATCAAATTAAGAAAGAGAAGTAATATACTGTAATCATTTAATGCCGATAAACTAAATTACAGTCAAAACCACTAATTTTTCAAGATACCCTGGGACTTGCACAACAACTTCCAAAAAACAGCTTTGCAGAAACACAGGGGAGAGTGGGAATATTTTGACCATGTATCAAATAAAACTTCAAATACTGAAAACTAAATCACAGAGAAAAAATAATAATTTCAACAGTTCAGCAAAGGGATGGTACACTAATAAGCTACAAAATTATTCTAATCTCAATCAAAAAGACTAAAGGTAGCAAGAAATTCTTGGCTATAGCTCAAGAACAACTCAAAGTTCATGGAAGGGTTATGGTAATAAAGTCAAGGGTAGTGCTGCAAATATGGAAAATCTCTGTCTCACAACGAAGAAAATAAAAGGCTTTTTTTTTCCCTTGAAATACTGTATCTCATGTTACCTCAAAAGGAAGCATAGTTTCTGTCTTTCGTTAGTCACAAAAAAAAGTAAAGTACTGCTTCTATAATTAAAACTCATTAAGTCTTCTGAAGTATCTATTATAGATTTGAAACAGTCATGCTGGTCTAGAACACAAGATTCCATTAGACCCTTTAAGAGGTTCAAATATGCATGTGGATGCCACCTTAAAAACATCAAAAGTGGCAGACCAGAGGCAAAATTTTTTATTCAGGAAACTAAAGTGCCAGTCTTCCAATACTGCAAACTACTACAACTTAGGTTCTGAGCAATTAAATCCAAAATAACGATCAACATGTTCTATCATGAAAAGATATTTCATACTAGAAATGCGTTTGTCTGGATCTTCTCCATCCTCATCTCCACTGTCTTCATGAACAGCATCTTCAGGAATGGCCTGCATCTGTACACCAGGTGCATGAGGCAACATGCGCAAGTTCTCAAATAAGCGTTGCCTGCAAGTAACAGACAAGAGAAGTTATTACTACACAGAAGTAGCACTTCCTTTGATTTCTATGAAGGTCTGAACTCTGCATTCAAAGTTAACCTGGCTTTGCTTTAGAGTCAGTTTCATTTTTCAATTAAAAAATTTAGCATGCCAAGTTCTGGAAATTTTCCATCCCTATGAGATCATTAGGATCCACAGTGTACTTGGAACATCATTTTCTTTGTACTTTACAAATATTTATTTCAATCAACTTCAATTTTTAATTCCCCATAGGGTAAGCACAAGTACTGCTCATGTGGACTAAACTGGTGTCAGTACTACTCTGTTTATAATAAGCTAGAGTATGAAGTCTTCCCAACTGGGAGCACCAAAAACAAAATTAATTCATCTGGATCTGTTTCCTTATTGGCTTTTTCAGGAAGAACAGAGACAAGTTCTGTCCTGTCTCAGCAGCCTGATGTGATAGATTATATACTCCTAAGCACCATGTGCCAGAAAAGAGGATACTGGACTTCTTTTGGGATTCAAAACTATCATTCCAAAGTGCAAGTATAAAGGCAGGCTTGGGAAGCATCAAATATCAGCATTTGAAACAATTATCTTAGCATCCTTCTGCACAATTTGAAGGCCTAAGGGACAACTGATGCTTTTTTGGAATCTTCAGGCTCTGCCTCTGTTTAAATCCTGTGACCTGACAAAGTAGTTTTGCCATGTGTGGGTGCTCTCTAAAGCCAGGTCTGTGAAAGCACACAACAAACTGAAGGAGGATTCTCCAAAAGGATGGGTCATTGACGTTGTAGGTGCTAGTATAAGAATGTGAGACTGTGTGTTTTCTATTGACAGAGAGCAATCTCTGCCTGGGATTGCAGCGGCAAGTTTTGCAGCCTCCTTGTTAACACAAAAGCTCAACAATATACACCATACAGCAAGCAGCCTGGAAGATCACCAGCTGGAGAACTACATTACTGCTGAGAAATGTTGTACAATTACATTAACAAAACATAAATGGACTTTTTCTCCCATCACACATTATAAACTCCTTTCATTTGATTGTGATTGATATAGTTGTGCTACAAACACCCATCACAGTCTATATACCAATCACTTAAAAATTACTATTTTAACAGCTCTGGTTATTTGGCAATTTGATACTTTTAAAGGTTATAGCAGTACTGGCAAAATTAAACATGTAATTTCACATCTTTATTCAGTTATTTTCAGTAACCAAAAGAATTTGTACTGTTAACATCCTGTTAGAACTCAGGGCAGAGTGGCAGTTTATTCTTTTAAAACCAGAGTAAGGACAAACCATGGTAAGCCAAGAGTACTTCAGGATAACCAATTGCATCCTACCAGCTCAGCACAGGATTGATTTTATGTATGCATTGCTTCACTCCTGAAGTAAAATGTTTGTTTCCAATGAAAATGTCAAGATGAGAGGAGGAATAAACTAAGTGTCAAAAGTGGCACAACCTAAAAACACACAACCACCATAGCTTATCAATGAGCACAGATCAAACCTTGTGGATTTGTCAAATCACAGACACTTAATTGCCTGCACACGCATCTCTGTCTTTCCAGAGTTTTGGATGCTTGAGCTCACTTATACAAAGAATAACATTCTCAGACCATGTTTAGACATGGAGCTGAGAATTAGAAATCCTAATCATGGCACACCAGCTTCTTTCTTGGCAGGATAGTTTCTACAAAATTAGAATGGGAATCTAAGTAAAACAGTCATCTTTTCAACATAATGGAAAAAGGAAAATTCCAAGCCAGGTCATAAATTTTCATATTTACAGTCATAAGACCTCATAGGCATGCATTCTGTTGGAGGAAGAGACTTCCAAAAAACCCCAAACAGAAATGAGAAACATGTCAAATCTATTCTAGTACTTATTTTTAGTGAACAGTGAAAGGTATACAGTTTTTCAAAACTGCCTAACAATTAAACCTCTGGAAAAACATGATCCACATTACCTACTTGATAGATAAGATAATCATTACTTACTTGATTTTCTCCATATATTCTGGTGTATTTTGATTAGTCATATTTGAAGGACTAATATGAAGCTTGAAGTCTGGTCCAAAATACTCAAAGTAGTCATTGTATGGCAACTCTATAAACCAAACAGCAAGACAACTTTGTTACCCAGAAAAGATTTTAAACATTTTAAATGCAACAGTAGATTTGACAGGATTTTACGTAGAGAACCATGAAAGCCTATGCATTCAAACAAGCAATACTTATTATCTGGACTCCTCAGTGATTTTCCTCTAAATTATTCAATATATAAACCTAAATTTGCTGGCAAAATACAAAGAGAAAGATCTGCTGCAATTACACACTGAAGAACTCAATAACAAAATTGAAAAAATAATTTAAATTATATATATTATATAATAATTATAATTATATATATATTATAGAATATATATTATTTCTGCAGGAAAAAGATTAATTGATGATTTCTTGTAGGTGTTTTCAAAGTTAAGTCTAGTTTGAAAGGTTTAAATGAGCAATTCAAAATATTCCTTCAGGACAAGATTTAATACTTGTTACTAGGCTGAAGATCATAGCTAGGATCAATATCCCTGCTAAGTGCTGGACACTGCTTCAGTGGTGCTGACTGGTTCAGTCTGTCTGTTGCCCTCCGTATCTCACTTTTTACATTTTCACAGAAAAAGGTCCCCTGACTAGAACACTAAACCACCAAAATGAAGTTGATTAAGACTACATAGCCAGGACAACAGCTATTTTACAGTGTTGTATTTTGCAGTATTTTGTATTGAACATGACTGTATCTTTCCAGAAAAAGAGAAATTAAAAAAAAAACATAGAACCTTTAAGAAATAAGTCACTGAAATCCATTTTTAATTGTGCCCTTTTGTCTTAATTTATGATTATTATAGGATAAGTGATCTTGATTAGGTAGATAGAAAGCAGACAGGAAGACAAAGCTGCTTAAGTTGGTATTGCAACATTTAGAAATGCACTGCTATTTCTCAGAACAGATTAAAGATGACAGGGACCCAAAAAGTAGAGAGGAATGTTTAAAAAATCCAAAAAGCTTCATATATACACACACACACACACATATATATATATATATATATACAAACACACACATACATATATATATATATATATATATATATATATGCAATCCATTGAAAGGGGGATGCTAATAGAAAAAAAAAAAAGTCCTAAGATAAGGAACTGCTACTGTTCCTTCAAAAGCTTTGGCTGACAAAGAATATATTTTGACATGAAAAATGGAAAATATGCATCTTGAAAGGTACATTCTGAATAGTCTTTTCTCACTAACAGCAGCATTCTGCTGAAGTCAGATAGAAACACTGAATCCACAAAGAGATACATGAATAGCAAAAGTTTATAGGCAAAAGTTGCAGTCAACAGCAAACTGCCAGCGACTCATTTGCAACAAATCAATCCAAACAGCAATTTTATATAAATGGCATTCCAAAAGCATATCCAGGAACATATTTGGCCAGAAGTAAAGAGTTCAGGATGTTTAGGGATCTGCCTCAGAGAAATTACTTCAGTATTCAGTTGTTTTATGTGGTTTTAAATGTCAAGATACCTTGTATATCCAAAATTAAGTGAAACGGAAGAGTGGAAGTCAATATATACTTTCACAGCGACTTTTGTGAGAGAAAATGAAGTAACGGTATTTTTGCAATGTAAAGTAGGCAATTTCAGAGTCAATAATTTCTTATGTACACCATGTCTGTGTTGTTCAACTTACAGGTTGACATCAGTACAATCAAAATGCAGTATATATTGTTTCATAATGATGATATTTTTATTAGACTTACAAGTAAGGTTCCATAAGTTTTATGTTTTGAATTTTCAAAAAGTGATTCAGTCATTTAAAGCTTTTGCTAAGGAATAAAAAAAACACTAAATACTTACATTTATTTAGTGTATAGGATACTGTAAATGTATTGGCTAAATCCTAGCAATAATTTTCTACCTAGTTTATTCTAAATGGATGAATTATAGCTACATATACAAATATCTGCCATTTACTTAAAATCTCCCATAAGTATTTCTTAATTAAATATTACTTTGAATATTAATATTTACCATTAGGAATTTCACAATCTAAGGCAACAGCAGTTTCGTATGTCCAGCATCGAGCCACATTACGAATTGTGTAGCCTCCTCCTCCTAACATCAGCAATGGCAAGTTAAAAGTCTTTACAACTTCCACACATTTAGCATGACCTGTAAAACAAAAAGAAAGTTGACAATATATGCAAAATACCTATTAAACAGAAAAATATATAACAAACTATTTAATCAGAGGTATGCAGTCACACTTAACAAGTGAGAACTGGATTGATTCAAAAAGAGCTATCTGCCCCTAGAGCTAAGCACAACCTCACAAGAAGTGAAGACCTACAGATTAGAAATGTACAAAACACAACGGGCATCATCCACCCCAGTCTTCAGAGACTTTGCATGATGATCTATTGCTGTTGTTCTGAAATGATCTTAGAATAAGTGTTTCTCCATAACTGGTATCATACACAGTGACAAATTTAGGGACAATTTCTCAGTCAAATGAAATGGGAGAAGAAGGAAAAACAAAATCAGTACTTGATCCTTTCAACTTCAAATAGAATTTGAACCTGTATTAGAGGTTGCTAAGTCTTGCTTACAGAGTGAACTGGTGCCAAGACAGTACACACTCCAGGGAGATACAGCATACTGAAAGGCATCTGTAGGAGGCAGCAGCTCTCTTGGTTTCCAAGATATGTAAGGTGGAAAAAAATCTGAGCTGTATGGGCAACTGAAGTAGCTTTGCCACCTGGTGCAAATCAAGAAAAGAACCCTGAAACACTGCAGACCCAGCAGATACTATACTTCATTTTGTTGCCTACAAAACTAATTATTGCATTAAAAAAACCCACAAAACCAAGAAAACCCATGATTTAAACAGGCTGGACTGAAGGCTTAGCAGAACTTTGCTAAAAATTTAATATTTTATCGTTAAAATAAATAGTATAATAATAATAACAACAGTAACAGTTATGCTACTTGCTAAATAACATCCCAATTTATAGAATTACAATTGCAGACAGCAAATTAGGTAATACTTAAATAAATTCATTCTATAAGAATTAATTAAAATTATGGTTAACATATGGCCCAGTATAACAAACACCACTATAAATTTAACAATGAAGTGAAGTATTATCATTTCAGTAATACCAATTTTACACCCAACAAGGTGTTTGAGGTTTAGCATCTGTAGTTCTAAGCTGACTACTAACTAGTTGTATTTGCCCATTATTGTAAGTGTTGCAGATGCCTGTGGTCCTATCACTCCAGGACACTGTTTTTAAAGCTACAGAAAGCCTGCACATAGAAGAAAGGGAATCACTTGAGTGGCTAGGAAGCACATGGCAAACCAAATTTCTGAAGTTTTTTAGATGGACAGAAAGAAAGAAGCAACTTCTGGGTTTCTTTTGGCCATCCCTGTGTAGCAAAGAAGGAAGTGATTAATCATAGTAATGAATAAAATCTTTGTGACTCCAGTCCTCATCATGCAAGTGTCTTGAAAAACAGCATGAAGGGTATTGGTTTCTAATAAGTAAAAAGTTACACAAACAGACACTTCTCTGTTTACCTTTAACAGTAAGATTAAAGCATCCCAGTCTGTCCCCAGACAGTGAATCTGCTCCACACTGCAATACCACAGCACTGGGCTGGTACATCTCCATTACTTTAGATATAATCTATAATCAATATAAAACAGTGAGTCATTAAGTGACATAATGAAAATACAAAACTAGTAGTTTTCAGAGAGCTTAAAAGCAAAAAGCGAAGCACTCACTGGTTTGAATATCTGTCCATATGATTCATCATCTATACCATCCCTCATTGGAAAGTTGACAGCATAGTATTTGCCTTTTCCAGCACCAATGTCCTACAAGCAAAGATGACAAATGCTTTAATATTAACACAGAAATACATAGAATGGTACCATGAAAAAAGTCTACACAGGTCTGCTGAGCTATTCTGTACATTATACGTATATGTGAGGAATAAGAGGCAGAGTTTACCTAACTCCTGTTCTCCCATAAAATCATTTTAGAGAGTAGGAGTTGGACACCAAGATTAAAATAGTACCCTCCATTTTTTAATTCAAAGATTTAAGACAAAAAACAATCAGTTTAATCTGGTAATAATAGCTAAGCAAACAAAAGTATAAAAAGCAAGAAGAGCAAGGTCCATGTTTTCAATGTTGTATAGAAGATTTGAACTTGAATAGGTTTTTAAAATGTTATTGCCCTAAACATAGCATGAGGAAGTAGCTGCACCTAAAGGGAGAGAAGAAAAATCCAATAAGGACCACTTATAGAAGTGCTCTGGAAGAAACTGAGACTTCTTAAATGAACAACAGAAAAAAAAAGAACAAAAGAACAAACTTGCAAATTATTCTTAGGTGTCAAGACAGGAACTGTAGTAGTCTATCTTACCAGCTTTCCTAGACAATGTATGTATTAAGAGAAAAAGTTTATTGCAAAAAAAAAAAAAAAATCAAGTGAATAAACCCTGAATCTGACCATTCCTATTTTGATGATCACCTTAAAAGCTAAAGATCTCTGCTTGACACACATTTGCATTTCTTCCATATATTTCATCACCAACACAGATAGAAAGCAATGCAGAACAGTTAAGTGGAGCAGACAGAATTAACCTGTTCAGTCTGGCTGTAAACTATTATCAAATAGCAGTTCTGCAGAAATATCCTAGAAAAACTACAGGTTATGTGTAGCATAACCCAGCAACACAAATACTAACCTTCTCAACACTGGCTATTGAAAGCCTATTCCTGAACAAAGCCTCTTTAGCAGGGAATGTATCAAGAATGTGCCACTTCCAGTAACCAAGCTTTACTGGGGATGTGAGAGGGAATAGAAAGAGATGAGGAGGGGGACAAGTGGCACAGTGAACCACAGACAAGATGTTAACAGTTGACTTTTTTTAGCCACAGCACATTATTAACATTTCATAGTATTGCAAGATGAGTGACACTAAAGACCGCTGCTGAACTCCACTCTTGCTGATTTGAAGTACAAGTTACCCAGAATTTCCCAGAGTGAATAATTTACACTTTCACAAGTTGAATTTTCTGAGGTGATCACAGAATGGACAAAATTGGAAGAAGGGACCTCTGGAGATCATCTAGTCCAACACCCTGATACAGCAGATTGCACATGAACACATTCAGGTGGGTATTCAGTATATGCAGACGAGATGTGACAACCTCACTGGATGACTAGAGTGCTCTTGTCACCCTCAGAGTAGTTTTTCCTCATATTCAGATGTAACTCCTTGTGTTCCAGTTTGTGTCAATTGCCCCTTATTCACCAGATCCCATTCTTTTGACACCCACCCTTGAGATATTTTTAAGTATTGATGAGGTCTCAATGTCTTTTTTTCAGGATAAACAGGGCCAACTTCTTCAACCTTTCCTCCCAACAGAGATGCTCCTGTTGCCTCATCATAATTGTTGTCCTCCACTGGACTCACTCCAGGAGCTCCATGTCTCTCTTATAATGGGGAGCCCAGAACTGGACAGAGCACTCCTGATTTGGCTTTACCAGGGCTGAGCAGAGAGGCAGGATCACTTCCCTAAACCTGCTGGCTATGCTCTTCCTAATGCACCCCAGGATACTATTGGCCTTCTGGGCCACAAGGAGACAGCTGGTTCATGGTTAACCTGTCCACCAGGAGCCCTAGGTTCTTCCCTCAGAGCTGCTTTCCAGCAAGTCAGCACCTAACCTGTAATGGTTCATGAGGTCATTCCTTTCCCTGTCTTGCTTTACAGATTAAAAAACCAAAAATTGTTAAATTGATCTTATCCTAAAGCACAGCAATGTCAAATCTTCACACAATTTCCATCTAAATACAGTAATTGTTTGAGCTTCTCAATGGACCTTTGTTGTAACTGATACTTGCATTAGTTTTAAAACTTAAAGGAACAATATAGCATTCTGATAGCCTCCTATTTACCAACAGATCAAATTGCCTCACAGAACCTGGGCCACTGTGGAGAACTATGGTCTCAACTGGTCTAGCTTTGTGTATGAACAGCAAAATTTGTGCTATCATCTAAGATATGCAGAAGGTCAAATAACTTACTGAGGACACTGGAAGTTTAGACTGAACAATACATTCAGTAGAAAATGGATGAAAGCTGCTGAACTAGAAAACCTCAGATTCATCTACACTGACAGAGCTGCAAGCACAGTATCATCATTTGACATATGATTTGATCCTACATCAAATAAATGTCACCTGACCAGCAAACTAGATCAACTAACTAAAGAATTACAGAAACAAGCTGTAAAACAGCCCATCTGAAAAAAACAGAGATTTGGCTGGCAAAGTTGATAAAAATAACCATCAATGGCAGATCAAGTTAGGAAGAAGGAAGCAACACAATACTGGCCTCCAAAAGGAACACTGACTTTTCAGAGAATTAGCTCTCCTTTCAGTTCAATTAGCTTTGCAAACTTTGGAGATAGGAAAAATCCCTGCGGTGATGCAATAATTGCAATAAAACCTGCTAAAGCCTGCATGCAGCTCAGAAAAAAGGTTGCCATGCCTGAGATACTGTTTTTCACTGACGCTGCTGAAAAAATAAATCCCAAACCCCAAAATATTCTTCCATTTATTTCAACTATGCTATCTTTTAATTCTTTGTTCTGGGTGTGGTGAGGTGAAGAGTCCACAAACTTCCCTGTCAACGGGAAGTGCTGCTTCTAAAAAGCCAAGATATCTAACCCTTCCAAAAAAAAAAAAAAATTCTATCCAAATTCAGCAACAACAGCTTGTCATGATAAACATCCTGGTCTGAGCTGCTTTAGTTTGAAGCACCACCACCACCTTGTGGCCAGTCAAGTTAAACCACACAGGTAAAAACTATTCTGATTTCTTCCTAAATCAATTTAGAACACAGTTTAACAGAATCTAACCATAATAACATTCAGCTACAACAACCATACTGAGCTGAGTGCTTTGCACCCTACTGCTTAACTTTCACTCACTCCTGTGCCTTCTGGGTATCATCAACAGGCTAGGAAACACACTTTTCAGGAGTATTAGTTGAAACACAAATATTTGCATCTCATGAATCAGTTTAAATATATTATATTCTTTACCAGCACAGCATCTTTGTAGGTCAACTTGTTAGAAGTGTTTACAATTTTTAAAAAGTTTCTAACTGTATGCACAAACTAATGTGCAAAGTTGCTAACACCAGAGGAATGCCATATCCCAGGAGTATCTATGATAAAAGAGGTTTAACTTATGAGTTTGAAGCTAGGAATATATTAATTGTATACTTATAATACTCTTTCAAGCTGTGAAGTGGAACAAGTTCCTGTTCTAACAGACAAGTGTCTAACATGAGCAATGACTAACTTAAAAATTATATATCACATGAAGGGCCAGGAAAATTGGTCTCCTGTCTCGGCTTTGCCAGCCATTCTACACCAACTTTAATGATTAATTCTTCTTAATGGGCAAATGCTCCCTCTCTCAGGCTAGCTATAATGCTCAGTACATAATTCCATATGGGCATGCTAAAGTTCTTAGGCAGTGAGCATCATGAGAACTCAAAACACACTTCATGACATAAGAAATACTCCAAAATTGAGTCAACTGTATTACTACACAAACAGAACATAGTAAATTCAGACTGTAACTTAAGCTTTGTGACTGTTAAAGGGTGATCTGTAAATAGCTACTTTTCACTGTAGCTGCAGAATTGAAATGTACAGATAATAATAAATATACCATACTGCCTTCTTGGAGACACCTCCAAAATCTGTGTGAATTAAACTAATTATATTTGAAAAAGATTTCAACCTTTTTATCCAGAAGTGAAGATGTTAATTTCATGTAGAAGTGAATATTTTAGCTCCCTACTACCCTGTATTATTTTTTGTAAGATTCCTCAATACATATATCACTCTAGGCTAACATTTTTTATGAAAACTTACTGTTGTATACCATTATTTGACATAGTTATTTTTAGCCAAGTGCAAAAAAAAAGTATCTACAAGGAGGACAGTAAGACGGAATTTATCACTTAATGAAATTTCACATTCAACCTTACCCTAAGGTCCCCTGTGCCTGGAAAATATTCACCATACTTATGGAATGATACTGTCATGACACGATCTGTGGTATAAAATGCTTCTTCAACACCATCACCATGATGGATATCAATATCAATATACAACACTCTTTGGTGATACCTAGAAAGAACATATAAGAAATCATCATTATCTGTTATATTCATAATATGCTGAGAGACAACAAGAAAAACACTAACAAAAAACTCCCAACCAGGCACAAAAATCCAAGATTATGATCACTGTAATGATTTTGGTTGATGTGACCATACGCTCTTAGAATTCTCAGTACAGTTTGAAAATTAGTAAGTTTATCTTAATCAAAATAAGGAATTTATTTAGTATTTACCCTAAACTGCCTCACTCTGTAGAAGCTATACCTCATGCTTCTGCTGACATTATTTTGTTGTTCACATCTGCTGAATTCATCCCTTTCATTAGCCCCAAAGCCTTTCTGCCTTCTCAGTAATTACCAAAACAGTCTGTGTTCCATAAACTAGCAAAAAAAAAAAAAAAACCAACTAATTTTCCACTGACTTTTCTTCTTCATCTCTCCAGCTTGTAAAGAAAGGCACATTCTTATTTTCAAGTGTATTACACTTTAATTTGCATAAATTTATTACGCTACTATTTAATATTTTCTTAAATACTGCAAATTTCAGGACAGTTTGAGATAGATAAAGAAATCAGTGATTTATTTGAAGCCTTGTTGTACTAGAAACAGTAAGTGTCCCTTAAATTTTATGTTTTCCAGTAAATAACAAAGTCTGCCATCAGAAGATGCATTTTCATTGTGCTTTGCACAGTACCAAGAGTGTGAGCACCCATAATTTCAGGGACAGTTTCCCATGACTACACAACCCATAATTGTTCACAAGATTCCTTCCTTCACATGCACATTTAGCTAAGACATTCAAGATTGGACCACAGAAAATCATATCTCGTAGAATGCAGACAGCTCCTGAATATACGCTGCACATTAAAATGAATGTTTTAATGTGTGAATATTAACTATTTTTAATGTCTTTAGAAACATTTTATATCATTAGTTTTCCAGAATACAGCTACTTCCCTTATTCCTCACCAGCAAAATCAGCTGTCCCACTCACAAAAATCAAATACCTAAAATATTTTTTCTAGTAAGTGGGATTTATGTGTTATTAGTAGGGATACACTCCTCTGAAGCAGTAAAAGCAAACTCAGGTCTTGAAATTTTAGTGAAGCATTACTGTTTGAAGTCAGTTATATGATTATTTTTCATTGCTCCTCATTTCTTATTTTGAAGTCACTGCAGCACAGCTGTTACTTGATTATTTATTGAAAGTAGCCACATTAATTAATGTAATAATCCAAGGAAGCTCAGTGCATGATCTTTCCTGAATATTCCTGTTTGATTCAGTGACAAATCAAATGACAGGAAACAAGAAGACATATTGTGAAACCAAATTGGGTGTAAGATTATGAGTACAAATGACTGCCCTAAGGAATCAGGACAGTGATCCATCTAGTCCAGTATTCCGTCCCCAAGCATAGCAAAGGGCGACTTTACAGAAATATTTGCAGAAAGCAAGTAAACCTGTCCACTTTCTGAAGTCCGTTACTCTAGTCCTTCCCACCATCTAGAATTACAGCATATGGTGTTTTACAGGGTGCAATATTGCTTGGATTTATCTCCTATTAGTTATCTTTTCAGTTTGCCTGTATTTTATTTTGAATATCTCACTGAAGCCAAACCAGGCAGAGCTTGGTGCTTTCTTAATTGAAAATGTAAAAGTTCAACATGGGCTATGAAAAGTCACTCAGATAATAACTACAATCCACATCTTCAAACATTTAAATACCTAAATTTAACACTTTCTATAATTTTAACTTGTGCCTATCACAAACTTACTTCAGTAACTCAAGGATGGCAAGCACAATATCATTAACATAACAGAAACCAGATGCCTCCGATTTCTTGGCATGGTGAAGTCCCCCAGCCCAATTGACAGCCATGTCTGTTTGTTGTCTGTTCAATTTCACTGCCCCAGCTGTAAAAAGACACACAGATGAATGAAAGCAAATGGAGTCAGAAATTTCCGATTGCCTTTAAATTTGCTACATGAAATCATATTTTATTTTAAAATAAGTTGATTTAGAACAGATTAATACTGAGATACTTGATACATCTCATATTTTACAGTCCATAACTGATGTGATTATTTTTAAAATATATTAAAAACCCCTTACATTTACTTCATTTTTAGATGCACAACCAAAATTTTAAGTTGCTGACATCAACCTAGTAAAGCTATAAAATAGTTGGCAAACAACCTATACTCACCAACAGAGCCTCCAGTTGACAGCTGACAAAACTCAAACAGGCCATCAAATACAGGACAATCTTCTCCAACATTAACTGTATAAGAAATGTAGTATTTTTTAAAAATACCATTCCAACAGCACCGATATACACATGGATAACACAGATTAATTCAGCATTTTAATTACTTAGACCTCATCTCATTCATCAGGCTAATTTAAACACTGAAAACACTGCAGAGTCCTAATAGCATAACTCCAAGCTAATATTTTTTTCTTTTCTTTTTAAATTATTTTTAGTTTCTATTGTAAGATTTGTCTCCTTGTTTAAAGAAGTTCAATTATTTTTAGATTTTTGAAGAAATGCTGATTAACATACGTCATGTTAAAAAATGTACAATTACTTAGAAAAATAATTTGCTGAAAATAAGGCATCATAAAGAGGTTACAATACTGCCTTTAAAATTGATATAATAGCTGTCAAAGTGCATCCCTAACAGTACTTGGAGTTTGTTCCTATAATTAAAGGAATAAATTAATAATAGAAAGGGTGAACAATGAATGATGTACAATTTTTACTATCTCCCTCCAAGAGGAATGAGCAAGTTCTTTTTCTGATTTAAAAATATTTTCACACATTGATTCTACTCCTCTAGTATTCTCAAAGCCATTTTAAAAGCAAGATTTCAAGGCACTTTCACAAACTTCGCAATCTGTACATCAAGCCTTAGTATTAGCAGGCACATGGCTACTCAATCTTGTTACAATATTTCTCTAACCTCTGTACTGGTGGATACTGAGCTTCAAACAATGCTAACCATAAAAACATGTACACATAGACTTAGCCTGACGTTGGCACTTACATCTCTGCATTTGCTTGCTGTACTCAGACATATTGTCAGGCCTTATTGATCGGAGAAATTTGATGTATTCATCACTATGGTACTTGGTCATTTCCTCAGCAGTTGCTTTGTGGGGTCGCTGATAACAAGAACAAGTTAAAGAAACAAATCAGGGTGCTCTACAAAATCAGCTAACTGTGTTAAAACAGACACCTTAAAAGAAATCTCACCTACTTTGAAGAGAAAATGGTGAAAAGAAAATGATAGTAGCAGTGTTTTACATAAAGCAAGGGCTACTCTGTTGTGATATACAACTGCATTAAATACTGCTTCACTTCTAAAAAAAAAGAGCTCTAAATACACTATTTATATATTCTCTATTTTCACTTCCACCTCTCTCCACTTATTTGTGTGACAGTACTTGCAGCCCTTTAAAAATAACTTAAAATGCTTCAGTGGACATCATGTTGCCTATACTTACATAAATCTCCATTTTTCTGTACAAGCCATAGTTTAGCAGCAAGTTGTGAGTCATTCGGATTCTGTGAGGTTTCATTGGATGTCCTTGTCCATAGTAATAGTTTCCAATATCACCTGCCAATAATACACAAATGAATAGCTATTCATATTACAAAACAAGTTTCATTGCCCCTTAATCATTCTCAGAATTAAACAGATATGATTCCAGAAAACAAACAAACCCCACAAATGGAATACTGTCTACTTCAAAAAGAACACAAGGGAAAAAACCTGCTATATGTCAGAAATAGAGGGGAAGAAGGAAGCCAAATCTAACACTTTCACTACAAGCAGACAGTAGTGGGAGACCAAAAATATATATAAGACATGGTTTCAAATCAAGAGTGAAGTTCTGGCCCAACAGTACGCTAGAACTGAACAATAAAATGGGAAACAGAACTGGAATCAGGAAGAGAGGAGACACTACTGATGACATTGCCACATAGTATCACAACAGAGGCCCTAGTAAAACCTATCATTTTGCATGAGCTGATTTTATTATACCATCCTCACCCTGCTCTTAACTACTAACCCTGTTACACCCAGAAATTAGCTCCAGATCCATTGTGGCAACCACATGCACAAACATTCCCCAACACCTGCTGCTGGAGATCCACAGTAGTTTAACAAGAACTTTATAATCCAGATTAGCCTGTTACATTGGAGACCAACTAGGCACACAATTAAGATAACAAATTTGACACTCATTTCCAAGAAAGGAATAGCTGTTATCATGGGCTAGTAGCAAGTTTTCTTATGAGCTCAGGTATTGTTAGAACACACACAACCCCACTCTGAGAACTGACATTCTCAACACATGAACCATTTTAAACGGAACTGTCTCTGGAAACATTAACAAGCTTATAAAGTAAGTCCAGTTGTCAATGGCTTTCAGCTGGAGATTTCTAAAATACCTCTTCATGATAGCATCTCTTTTCCTTTTGACCCAATTTCCCGATAGGATTACTAAACTTTACCTTCTTGAACTTTTTACTTTTCTTTCACATCCTTCAACATGCTCTGCCTTGTCCACTGGGAACAAAAGAAACACTATTTTCACAATGTCATACTATTTTGTAAATTTTATCAGTCAGAGGTAAAAAACAGCACTACTACAAAACAGCTTTAGTTTCACCTCTTCAACATGGGCTTCATGGAAAAGGGTAAATGTCAGCTTGCAGTAGCATCAGCAGCTACCAAGAAAAACAAGTATTACAGTAAGATTAAAAGTTTCAAAGCATTCTAAAATCCTTCAAGCTTTCAGTTTTCAAAGAGACAAGGAAAGTAAGAACACTTAAGAAAACAGATATAACCTAATGTACCATAAGAAGATGTAGAAAAACTACCCTTCAATACCTAGCTCTTAGCCATCCTATAACAATAGAAATACCAAGTTTCAACATTAAGAACTTTGAAGAGTTTGGACCTTCTAACTTGGATACTGAAGGGGAAAACCAGCACTGTTTGTCAGCTACTTATTGCAAGCCTATAGGTTTGGACACATGCAAGTCAAGAGCAAAAGTATTAAGAGTATAAATAAACTCCTTCCTTCCAACAAAAACTTTTTCAAGCACTTTACAAAAGAATACCTTATATATTTCATGTTTAGGAAAAAAATCTATCACAGCTCTTTGAAACTAATGCCTAGAAGATGAAAATCAGCCATTTACTAGCTCTACTTCATGTTATGAAGTTACTGTTAAGTTCCAGATTTTAAAAAAACCTTCAGGCTAGTGAGAGCTTTAAATTCTGAGATTTTTAGGAAAATAAAGATTATAAATAATGTGATATTATTGAGAAAACTTCATTACAAATGCATCTGTGGCTTAAAACTGAGTTTTTTTAAGAGATCATTTCAATTTTAACTACTGCAGCTTCTGTAGTCATCACTGACATTTTATTCAGATTGCTGATGGATGGGGAAGCCTACAATTAAAAAAATTATTTTAGATCTTATGTATGATGTAATTGTGTTATTTTCCCCATACGAAATAGAAAAAAAAATAAAATTAACAAATTTCCCAAATACAATTGCAACATATCCTTCAATTACTCAACTAAACAAATTTTAACTTATACATAATCTATATACCATACACTGCAGCATACAGTTATATAAATAAATCAAGCAAAATTTTTAGATTTCATTTATTCTTTTTCTTACCCAAAAGGAGAATTTTAAAACAATTGGCACGTTGGTAGATTTAATGGGAGTTTATTTGTCAAACAGAAGATCTGTAAGTCAGTATCTGGCAGAAGAATACTGATCCTTCTGTATTAGAGGCCAGCAGTAGTGACTAACAATAGATATCAATATAATACACTTTAGCAACAGACAATATAATACCATTTATATTTTTCAGGTCTTAGTATCACTAACAAAAAACGGTTTTGGCATTAGCCTCAAAAACAAATTCTTAAAGCATATGGCCAAAAAGCCTATCAAGTATCAAGGGATTAGTGATGCCTATGTAGGCAGGGGTGAGAAAGGAAAAGCAGAAAGATCTCCTCTTTCTTCATTAGTACCTTGATTTTCAACCAACATCATGAAGGGGACCCATCATGGAGACGACATATACGGTGATGAAGGCAAAGTTGCCAAAACTCTCTCCTCATTACCTAGTGAAGAAGATGGTGCACTTCCTGGTACAAACACTTCATCTACTGATCCTGAAGTTTATGTATCTCCTTTTCATAATCACAGCCTTACTAGAGTACTTTGGGAAGAAAAGCAAGGTGTACCACGAGCTAAATGTGTGAGGATGGGACTCACTCACTGATGGAGCTAAAAAGCTCTGCACAAACCTCTGCCAGGCTGACTAAAACTGTATCTAAAACTCTGTATATATGAGGAATGGGTACAGTGAGGTTAAGCTCACAAGATTATTACTGCAGATACCATGAGCACTTCACTTTATACTTACTAATATAAAGGTAAATTCTTACTAATATGGAAGTAAAAATCATACAAAAACGTTATGAGCACAGTATATCACCAGTGTGAGAACACATAGAAAGCACAAAATAAAAAGAATGTAACTGAATGAGGATGAGAAGGGAAAAATGCAATGTAAAGTTTGCAAATCTATTGATCTTTCACAGCAAGGCTTCAAAAACTGAAATTTACTGTTTTATATTAGTAAAAATGCCAGTTAAATGGCTTCCATTGAGAAGTAACAACATATAATCTCTGAAAGTCTTTAATTAAGAAGAGACAAACCAAGCGTCCTTTAATGCTATAGAAGTTTACTGCCCCACAGTTTACTATGTGATACAGAAGACCTACCTGACAATTGTAACATACACTGTCGTGTTTTGGGTTCAAATATATATATATATATATATATATATACATACACATATATATATATATATATATTCTTCTCAATTCATGCAAGTTACATGCCAAAATGATGAGAACTATCAAATAAAAATAAACCCATGATTCCTTTGATGAACATAAGTTTTAGACATCCATTTCTCAATCCAGGACTTTAGCAAGGCCTAAAGAAAACATTTTAACACACAGAAAAATGCAAGAGGCTACGTGCCCTAAAAGAATTTTAATTCTGGCCAAAACACCACAACTAACAAAAGCTATGTCCCCAAAAAAGTATTAATTTCTCCAGTTACTATGACATACAGAAAAATAACACCATTAAATATACTCATTGCAAAGCAGTCTGAAGCGACTGAACTAAGAGACAGGAGATGACATCTACACTGGTTTTTTAATACTTTGTAACTTGTATATTAGATTACTTTATAACTTTTAACTGATAAACTGTTATGTACATGGATCACATCCCTGCTTATTTTAGGTATAGTTACCATGAAATGATGAGGTATTTATTTCAGAACTGTACTATGCAAAGAAATCTAATTGCCACAATGGAAACCACATGGAAAAAACATAACTTTAAAGCAGCAGTTACACTGAATTTACTTCAGCGACTCAAAGGGGTGAACTCATGTAAGGCTGAATGTAAAATAAAAGATCATCAGTGCCTGATGAGTCCAACAAACAGCTATTCAAACAGGTCTAAAATTACAGCACTAGTTTCTGAAGGATCGGGCATTTTGTATTGGTTTTAAAGTTAAGCAGACAGCAGAAGAGTAGCAAAGATCTGACTTTTGAGCCTGAGCAGAGGCTGGACACCATCACAATGTTTGGAAGGCACTGCACAAAGTACTGATGAATTTCCAGAAAATATTCCTGTTTAAGTTCATTTTATCTGCAGATGTAAGCTTTAACAGAAGTACTACTCCAACAATGCCCAACTATAGTAACACACTGCCCTACTAAAACAGGTTTAGTCTCGTCTTTATGGGTGGAACCAACAAACTCTGATGCAGATCTTTCAAATTTTTTCATGAAGGTAGAGCCTTTTGAACACCCACACTAAATTATGCACAAGAACCAATCTAAACAATACTGCTAGTGCACCGGCATGGAATAAATACATGAACTCACAGTAACCACACCAGTTGCTGCACAATTCTCTAGAGCTGTGCCAGTCGGTGCAGGAGCACAGAGCTGGAAAGACCATCTGGGGTCTGTTCTCACTGCTGTGGGCAACTGTACAACACCTTGGAAGAGCTACCTGAGCCACAATGCTGCAAAACCATGACAATAACCTGAAGACACATGGCAAGAGAGTAAACTAAAAACTATGATAGCCTTCCACATCTAGCATGGTTCTAAGCAGTGTGAGGAGCACACTTTGTTAAGCTGTATCAAGACTAGAAGAATTTCTGAAAAATATTTTAAGCAAGATCATGGAAGTATTTAAATTCATATTTTAATTCGTTTTTCCCATAGTATACTGGCTTAAATTTAAGCAAAGTTCCTGACCTGAGCACGATCACAAGCAGTGAAGATTCTGCAAAATTGGATGTGGTTAACTTTCTATTGCGAGCAATCTCAAGGTAATGAAATCAAGCTTTGTCTACTCAAAGTTTATTAGTTCCACATACAGTATGAAGACTGTTAAAACTATTGATTTAGGAAAAAAAGCCTTAACAACAATACACTCTAAAGAAGTGACAAGCTAATTAAAAAATCAGCATTAAATGACAATCATACCAAGTTTCACAAAAAGCAGGGGGAAGTTTATTGCATCTCAGAAGATAAGCGTATATGCTTCTGGAACTTTTCAAGACCTTTTAGTGTGTAACTTTTAAGAAACAGAGTAAAAGTATGTGTGGAGAGCCAATTATGACCCAAAAAAAGAGGTAATTTACTTCAGACATGACATTCCTTTAGAGATATACCACTACCTCAGTATTATTTTGTTTTGGGTTATTTAAGGCTTCAAACACTCTGTTCACTGTGATTCAATGGCTTTGCTGATACAACAGTTAGTATTATTCAGAATTGCCAGATGAACCACACAGTAGCATCAGGATATCTATTTTCGGTATTAACTCTAAAATTTTTTCTAATAACTCTATTTCCAAAAGGCATGCAAAATAATTGTTGGATTTGGCAACACAAAAAAATGAGACATCAAAAATATTCCAAAACTGTTTCTGGCACATATAAAATATTTATTTTAAGGTACAACAGGTAATATCTTCTCTACATTATTAACTACATTTATCCTAGTCTACAGATAAGCTGCAACTGCTTTAAGTCACCATTTTCCTGCCACCTCCAAACTTGCTCCTCTTCCAGTTTCTCCTGACTCTTCACAAGTATAGCTTTAATCATTAGATTAGGGAAT